TTGTTTACGCTACATGAAAACCTTCATGGTACACTGATAAATAACCGATATTAACAGGAATATTATATATTATTTTAATTATTTGCATGTTAATATTGATTGTTTATCAGAGTTTTCTATGCTGCGTATTAAAACAAGTATATATTGAGTAATTAAGTACACCATATTAATACGTTGCATATATATATATATATAACAAGTATATAGTTGCATTAATTAAAGCTAACTAAAATTGTATAATTATATATACATGTCTGCTTTCGTTAATTTTTTCTCTTTTTCACATGGTTTTTCACTTAAAAATGAGATTTCCTACGTTATACATTCAGCGCATGTTTTTCACATGTAACAGCTTCCGTTTACGACTAATTGTAACAAGAAATTTATATGCTACTTAAAGTAGCCTATCTACTTGATTGCTTCGAGAACTGTGTACCTAAGTATCAATGACGAGGTATCTTGCTCATTCGCCTGATCTAGTTCTTCCTTTTAGTATCGGCTATATTCAAGTAAAGAGATAATTAATTTTTCTTACTGTGTGTTTCTCTCTCTCTCTCTCTCTCTCTCTCTCTCTCTCTCTCTCCTCTCTCTCTCTCTCTCTCTCTCTCTCTCCTCTCTCTCTCTCTCTCTCTCTCTCTCTCTCTCTCTCTCTCTCTCTCATTACAGATATTACTCGTCGACCTACGTTATTTCTCGCGTCTGCTGCATTTTTTCTCGCATTCTCGTTTCTTCTCTGAAATTTTTTTTTGCAAGAAATATTTAAAATATATTTATCAAGCTTAATGATTGAAATCGAATAAACGTTCATAATGCTTGCTCAACGCGTTCTCGCGTCGTCAAATTTGCTCGGTTGCATCTGGCATCAATATGCGTTATCGAAAGACCCCTTTTAATTTTACACTTTCCGACCATCATTCGAGTGCAATGTCGTTTTAATAGGCGTAATACCGGTCACAGATACATCGAGGCGCTAAAGCGACAGCACCGACTAAAAGCCAGCTTTTATGAATCCATGTAACTCGCATCCACGGTTTTCTATGGTAAATATTTAATTAAAAATAATAGTAAATTGAAAAAAGAAATATTGCACCTACCGTGAAATAGACTGATTTGAATAGAATGATTATAGTTGCGTGTAATTAACTCTTTAATAGCGTTTGATGAATACACTCGTCATGAGGAAATGATCACTTTTAGCGTAATATAATATACTCGTCATGTGAAAAAATAAAATACCTTTTGTTATAAAAATTGAAATTTTTGTAAAAAATGAAAAACGTATTTCTTTTATTAGAATAAAGAAATCAAATGGGCAATAACTTTTTGCATTTTTATGAAAATATTGTTATATTCGACGCAAATAAATTAACATTATACAATTGTCCCAATTGTTTTAAATATGGAATTTGGAAGGAGGACAAAATATTGATGTTCTACATGTGAAGTACCACTATGTGTTGCATTCTGTTTTAAAATATCAATATTATACTCTAAAGATAAATTTCTTATTTCTCTTTTTATTTTTTGTTTCCCATGTGAATTCTTTTTATTTAAATATAAATTTTTAAAATTGTATTAATAACATTTATTATATTAATGAATTTTTGAACAATAAAATTATTGATTTTTTAAAATAATCTAACTCATAGTATTTGTCATTTTGTAATAATTAATTGAAATTTACAATGGTATTTACTCTGCGTTTAATAAACATATTCATGAGTATACTAGTATAATCATCACGTGATTTTAATTACGCAAGCAGATACACATCTTTAAAACAAAATTCCACTATTAAAGGGTTAATGAGGAAGCAATCAGCGTTTCGAAAGAATAGACTGATTATGTCGACTAGACAGCCATGCAACAATGAACTCAGCAAATGATACATTGCTCGCAAAAATTAGCATTCCAATTAGGAATAAGCTCATTAGCTACTTTCACAATAAAGTATTGCACTGTTGAAAATTAAGGCACAATTATGTATAAATTAAAAATAAACTAGTCCTTGTTTAACCATGTTGTGGAAGAGAGATGTTACTCCATTGACAGATATGTTGAAATAAAGGCTCAAAATACCATCAAATTCTGTTATTTGAAATAATTCTAGATTCGACATATTAGTGACTTCTGCAAATGTTTGATTGTGATGTTCTGAATAATGAGCTTGGAAACCTACAATACAATTGGTAATAAAATAATATATTGTTAGCCGCATGAAAAAAACAATATGATTACTTAAGAAATATTTAAACTGCGATTATAATTATAATTGAATTGGATTGCTTATTTAATGACGACTTACATTCACTTTATCAGATAGGAACCCATCCATATTGATTGCGGCATATTCTATATGAATCGAAATACTAGTTTGCTATATATGTGCTGGATTTTCTACTATCATATAGTAAATGTAATACTGCAAAACATATTCAGTAATATCACAAATTAAAAATATTAGAAAAATTTTAAAAATATAGAGATATTACCTTTATTATAATCTATAATAAATATATAATAATCTATAATAATCTATAATAAATATATAATAATCTATAATAATCTATAATAAATATATAATATTTTTTTAATAAATCATTATATATGTGTATATAAATATGTTATTGTCGAATTAACTTTTGAATCATCTTTGTTTATCAAAGTTTGTTTATATTTTCAGAGAATGAATGCGATAATTTAATTTACGCAAATTCTAAAGTTTGATACATTGTAATATTTACACTATAAAATGTTAAATATTAAATTTGTGTCTGTTGTATTTAACTTTTTAAATATTTCAAGATTTTACTTGAAAAGAAATATGATCGTGGATAGATTATATACACACACACAGAGAGAGAGAGAGAGAGACACACACACATACACACACATATGATCGCGCGTGCTTCCATGTTGAATGCTTGAACGGGGAGAGAATGCGCAAAACATGAAAAACCTTGATAGATTTCCATTGATCAATTTAATGTAAATATGTTATATTTTGCATGCTCGTATATCCTTAATTAAGAACTTTTATTTACATGAATTCATGATTAATAATAAAAAGCAATTCTTTCGAATCAATACATTGTTTATATTGACTAGACAGACAATCATATATCATTAATTTTACAATAGATAATTTGCGAAAAGTAGTATTTAATTAATCGACATTTTTTATCTAATTCTATGCAGATAAATTACATAATTATAAATCACTTTATATGATAAAATCTTGAGGTTTTTGAAAAGAAAAGGAAATATACATATTCTTGAATATATATTTGAAAATCCATTAATTTTAACTTTGAACAACTTGTTATGTTAGCTTAGGAATAATATTAATGGATATTTTAGCTCAAGATACTTTACAAAACTTAAAAATCTATTATATATACATTTCTTTCATCATATAATTTGTAAAATTGAAGAAAATGCAACAATACGAAATTTTATAAAAGAAATAATAAATCTCTAATAAAGAAACGTATTTTTTTATTAAAAAGTGATTAATTCTCGAAATAAGATCATTTTCAATAATGAGAAACATTATATTATAATGATAATTTAAATACGTTATAAGAATCAATGTATAATACAATAAAATAATATAAAATAAAATAAACACATTATGGGAATAAAAAAGTTGCAATTCTTTTTATCATCAAGGCAAATATTTGTTAAATGCATAATTATATTATTTATTATAGTAGATTGATCTTTATAAATTGAATATTTATTATATATGTAATCTATACATTTAATACAATGTATATATAAACTTATCTTTAGTTTTCGCGTCGATGAACGCAAAAAGCGTCACAACCACCACGAGTGAAAGCAATGTTTTCCAAACTTCTGACAAATTTCTTTCTATACTCAACTATTATCTCGTTTATCGACTGCAGTTACAGCTATATGTACAATTGCACACATTGGAAATACATCCAGGTTCCTATTGATCAATCAAATTTAAAAATATTTTATTTAACATTTTTTTTAATTAGCATAAATTGTATTAAAGTAAACTATTAAATGTGTGTATGATTATATAGCTACCTCATAATGAAAAATGATTGATGAAAAAAATTAAATTTTATAAATAGAAAATCGTACTCTTAACAGTACAAAATGTGAAATAAAAATACAATATTAAAATATTAATAAATATTTCGCATACATACACACACTTATTATATATACATTTTCTATGCCTTATCTGTATAAAAATTAACAGAATATTCTAATAGAATATAATTATATATATGTAATTGAATGCTTATTTTTAGCTTGAGATTTTTAGCTTGAGATCTAATAAAAATAATTAGTACGATTCTATTCTTGATTACAGATGCGTAACTTTTTCCTACTATGAAAAGAATAGGATGAGAATCGCAATTAAGGAAACTTTAATCGAAATTCGAGATTTAAATTAAAAAGTTGTTCCGCTCGAATTCCAATGTGCCAATGTGACTCAATAAATGAAGTTCCACGGAGAGATCTGCATTCCTTAATAAGCGGACGAACCATATGCATGAAATATTCATCACATGTAGACTACATTAATTCATGTTTCCTGATCTCATTTTGGATTCCTCTTTGATGTTACTCGAAATATGATTGATAAAAGAAATTTCAAAAAAATAAATTTCAGAACTGCAATATTTGCAAAGTAAAATGTGTTTCGCCGTATACTTTTTATAAATATACAAATGACTGGTTCGATTATGTAAAATGTTTGATTTTTTAGTTGCGCTGACTTCGCTTAAAGATATAATATTTTGCAGAAACTACAAGCGTACCTCTATGAGCAAAAAATTTCTCGCAAAAATTTTATCGTATAAATTTTATCTTTCTTCATAAAAACGTTTCAATAATAAATTCTGATTTCTTGAATCTCTCTCTCTCTCTTCTCTATAATTATAACGTAGCAGAAAAAGTATTTTATATTACCGAGTTTCCTGTGGTAACGGAAAAAAACGGAAATGTTGAAAAAAGGAAAAGGGAAATTTTTTATCGTACGTAAACAACAATATAAAAGCACTTTGCTAATTATATAGGCTAATGCTAATTAATGAAACAATCGGAACTCATTACAGTATAAAAGAGGAGAATTCTCTTTCGAGATATCTAAATAATTCTTCCCTTCATGCTGTTATAAAACGTTGAAAATATGAAAGACTTGTTTTCGATCTGTAACAAACAAAACATACATATAAACATTACATGATTGTACTTTTGTATTCCTAACTGTTAGATGTATGATTGTAACATAAGTAAAATGTGAAAGATAACAAGCGATATATTCCGTCAAACAACATTTCCGATGAATCGATATTGTCGATCTATACTATACTATATCTATACTATATCTATACTATATCTAACTGAAATGTCGAAAGTTTCGTCGACTCATAAATGTTACCCTATATCGTCTTTCGAGGAGAGTGGTTTAGATTTATGTCCGCGCCGAATGAATCGCGCTATGAATTTTTTCGATTGCCATTCCGTGGATAACCATAAATGCTCCATTTTCAACATAAAATGTCCTATTTATGACTTTACAAGCTGTTGGTACAGTGTAGAAAACTTCCGTTTTATGTCCAAATTACTTCAGAAAAAGGAAAAGAAAGAACATCATTAGCAGTGATTTGAAATCTTATTCTTCCTTCCTTAAGTATATTGGCGAGGACAGCTGTCATAAATTTTCATATAGAAATTTCAACAACTAAAATTATCATAAATTCAATAATATATCTTAATAATATTAAATATAATTTCTCGATCATTAATTTTTTTTAAATGTATTTCGAATATTTTTTACATAACGTTAATATTTTTAATACATTAATTATTTAATTATATTATTAATAATTCTTTTTCTTTACGGTACAAGCTTAATTATTATCATACAAATAGAAAAATCGTTGAATTACATCATCGCATTGTTCTATATTTAATTACGGCTCTTATTTAATTTCTTTGTTTCTGTGAAGATCCAAGTTTCACAGCTCGAAAATCATTTGTCCGACTTATCAGTGCCATGCCTTCTACTTGTATAGTGTTATGAGAAATCTGCGCGGTTTGCTGAAACGTTGCACAGCTTGCAGCTTTCAAGTTGCAGCAAGAGCTTTCACGGGTCAACACGATATGACACAAAGGTATTCTCTCGCCTGCATTCTCCGTCTCTCACTCTCAAACCGTCGACAAAATTCTCTGAGCTATTGGCAGAATGCGCGAACAACTTCCATGAGCAAGATTATTTCCCTAGGAATCAATGCTTGGAAAATTATCATGTCGCCGCCAGCGTTATTGCTGTATTGCCCCTACTGTAATTCCATTGCATTTCACGTAGAGTGAAATGGTACTCTGAATATGTCTCTATTTACTCCTTTCCAATTGTCAACGAATTATGTTGAACCGCGAGAATGCTGAGTATAATGATAATAACATCTTCCTTGCATAATAATAATTTAATAATAATTTAATAGTAGAAAATGAATTTTTATTTTTGAATATGATTAAAAGCGAATGAAATAATATTATTTTATATTAGTTATTTATATTGAATTATATATTTATATCAGATAATTCCTTTTCATAATTTATTAAATATTGTCGCGTATTATATAATGCCGTATAATTTTATTGTTTTTTTTTTACCTCTGTTTCAGATTCTACTCTCAAAATCGAAGCATAATCTGGTAAAGCAGACAAGAGAAAGTTCGTCTTGAAACTAATATCCGTCAAACTAATAATCTTGGATCGTGCGCTCAGCAAATGATTGACAGAATGACATCAATGTCACGTACGTTATCCTCGTCAACAACACAAACTTTAGTTATGTCAATATCTCCGTCGTTATTTTCTGACAGAATACTAAGAAGATATCTGTAAGTCCGCCTAGATATAATAAAGTTCTGCTGCGATTAATTACATTATGTAATAAAGATCGGTGTAACAAATTGTTCGAGAACAAGATATGCAGTCAAGTGTTTTTCTATACTTCGTTTCGCTCTTGGAATTCTGATTCATATTTCAAAACCAATGATGATGAATACAACGATGGATTACGGTCAAAATTCAACTTACAACCTAAACTCAACGCACAACGATATAGGCCAAAATTGCGAGGCTGAATTGCCAATCGTCGCTCTGGTCAACCAGATTCTTTACTCTGTCGTCTGTATCGTCGGACTCCTCGGGAATACCTTGGTCATTTATGTCGTTTTACGCTTCTCGAAGATGCAAACAGTGACGAACATGTACATCGTAAATTTGGCGATCGCGGACGAGTGCTTCCTGATAGGTATACCGTTCTTAGTGACGACGTTTAGTTTGCGCAGCTGGATCTTCGGTAAAATCATGTGCAAAGCCTATATGACCACGACAAGTATTAATCAGTTCACCAGCAGCATCTTTCTGTTCATTATGAGTGCCGATCGTTACATCGCTGTGTGCCATCCGATATCATCTCCGAAGATGCGCACGCCGTTCATCTCGAGAGTGGTCTCGCTTACCGCCTGGGCCACCAGCGCTCTCTTCATGGTCCCGGTATTTCTTTACGCAAACGCCATGGAATCTCCGGAAGGTGTTGTCAGTTGTAACATTTATTGGCCTAATGATCGTGGCGGCCAGACTTCCTTCACTCTTTACACCCTCATTCTAGGCTTTGCAGTTCCTCTGATACTCATATTGATTTTTTATTTTCTCGTGATCAAAAAGCTGCGCACGGTAGGACCAAAAAACAAATCGAAGGAAAAGAAACGATCGCACCGGAAGGTCACCAAGCTGGTGCTAACAGTGATCACTGTATATGTTTTCTGCTGGTTACCTTACTGGGTCACTCAAGTGGCGCTGATATATACTCCGCCGAAGCAATGTCAGAACAGTATCGCCATTACCAGCTTTCTTCTAGCTGGTTTTCTCAGCTACAGCAACAGCGCAATGAATCCGATTCTATACGCTTTTCTGAGCGACAACTTTAAGAAGAGCTTTTTGAAGGCGTGCACCTGTGCCGCTGGCAAAGATGTGAACGCGGCGCTGCATATAGAGAACAGCGTATTCCCAAGAAGGAACAAGGCCAACGTCGACAGACTCCAGTCTAACCGCATGGTCACCTCCGGACAATCTAGAATAGAACTTGAGGACGAGGAGGCAGAGAGAGGCTTGCTCATCAGCAAAACCTCCACAACCACAGTGACCATGACGTCGCGATCAAACATCACGGTTAGCAGCGAGCCCAGAGACCTTGCACAGAGAGATAAGGATCTAATTAAGAACGGTGCACAGTTAACTTTGTTGACGCAGGTTTAAAGCTCTCCCTCCCGGACTGGAATTATCTGATTCCGGAATGAGCTTTCTCTCTGTCCGTTGGAAACGATAGGCTTATCCGCTTGCTGGATCCTGATCGTAGCGATGATATTTATATCTATTGCGCTTCACAAAGGCCGAGAAGATCAAGATTAAGTGCAATGATAAAAAGTTATTAAAGATGCATCGGTTTGTCAGAGTGATATATATGTGACATCGGCGAGTGATTTCATAGTGTTAGCAGTGTGATCCGAAACTCTTTATAAAATCACACGACAATCGACGAATAGAATAGAAAGAAATACAAAGAAGCTGTGTTTCATATGAATGTTAATTCTTGGTGCTATCTGTTTCGACACAACAATTAACCGAATAATTTGAAAGTCATTGATGTTATAGTCTAGAAAAATTTGTAAGAATCAACGCGAGACATATTTTAGAATCTGTATCGTCGCGAAAGTGTCGAGCTAGAACTTAAGTATTTTTTTCGTAAAAATGATTTCTCTAAATGCAACACAATCGTTGTACCTGACTGTTGTTCGCCACAATATTTATATATTATAATATTACCCGAATCTTAAATAATATATGTATGTGAAGATTATCTTATAATCCGAAGACATTGCGCTCAATTCTAAATGCAACGATCATTTCTTATCGTATTTCTTATCATATTCTTCCATTCGATAAAACGAGAAGAACTTTTTTCTGTATCTAGTAAACAATATATCACTGGACAGAACATAAAAGCTTATGATCGATGATCCTCATTCCTCATGAACATCCGAAAACAAATCGAGGTGGCCGAAAGAGTTGCGCCTGGTATTGATCTGTGAATACTTACAAAAAAAATTTCTGTCAGATTTTGTGATGATTTATCTACTTTTCATAGTGATAACAAATGTGTGTGTAATGTTTCAAGTAGCAGTACAATATAATTGTATAATTATAATTGTATAGGTAGAATTAAAAGAATATTCATTAAAAACGGTTTAGCATATGTATCACATAAACTATTGACATTTATTATAGTAATATTAACGCAGATTGTATGACAAATAACTGATAAATTGCCAAGGCATAAAAGTGAACTATTTTACTAGTGCGCCGTGCCAAAATTTAATATTGATTCGTTACGCATAAAGCGCCACAAGGAAAGGATCGGCGAACAATTACAGAATTCAAGACAAAACCGCAAGTAGATTTTCAAAGATGAAAAGCCTTCTCGATTCAGTGTTACGAGGCCTAACAATCTTCCCGAAATGTTTCCCTTTCGGAAGAAAAATGACATTGCTCTCCTGAGATTCGCATCTCATCACCTCTCTTCCTATTTTCACGTTTAATGTACTATTCCATTATTTTCTTTTCACCAAACAAAAAGAACAATAAGATCAATCTACCACAATAGCATCACTGTAATCACAATAGCAGCGAATTTTACATAAGCTATGTTGCCTTTTTTCACGAAATTACTTTTCTCGTATTGACTCATCTACACTTATGGAACAAAAGATAGAATCATAGAAGATAAAATTCTCGATATTGAGCAATTCACGATGAAAGACCACAACGTGTCGTACATCGTATTCCGAACAATAACATTCTGTCAAAGTTTATGTCGAGTACGTGCATGGTTTCAGCGAATATTCGAATATCAGATAAAAATTGTCGACAATATTTTAAACGAATCAATACTGGAATATTTAAGCTGAATATTTTATATTGAGTAAATTTTTGCTAATTTATCAAATTTAACGCTGCGAATAATTTAATAAATTGTACTATTTATCAATAATATTAGTTAAATAATATTGATGCGCCGATTTTTTACGACTGTTTGCATTTATTGATAAAATGTGATTTCTTTAAAATTAGTCTATAAATCAAATTAACTCGATCGTTTATAATTATATCATTAATATTATTTTTATGTAATTTTTGCAAATCCTTATCATTTTTATAACTCCCTCGTCTATTTTCATTTATCAATTTATCTTTTTAATGAGAGCTTATTGATTTGATCAATTGAGATTCATTAGGAATTATTACTAATTAATTAATTCTATTAATAACTTAATATAATTACTTTATATTATTACAATTGATAGTATAATAAATTAATAATAAAAATTCAAAAATGTAAAGACATTTACATTTTACATGATATAAAACATAAAAAAAAATGAAATGAGAATTGCACAAATAACAGACTTACTTTTTTGTAACATAATTTAAATTGAGACATAAAAATTATTTCAAAGATGTTTTTACAATAAATCACATTACATCATACTTTTCATCATAAGCCGTAAAACTCGTAAACTAGAAAACAGATGTGTTGATTACTGCATGTCTGTGTACTCACTCTTCAATCACCATATCTTTTGATCAGCCCTTCTTTTCTATTTTATTTCTTTATACATTAAGATCCTTCTTTTCTATTTTATTTCTTTATACATTAAGATTCTATCCAATTTAAGATTACATCCCATTCCATAAAAATAATACGCACACAAGAAGAATTTTCAATAGAATACTGTTTTTTTTATTGCATGTATAAAAAAAATATATTCTTTTTAAATTTAATGCTGCATAAACATTGCAATAAATGCATTTTACAATAAATTTTGTGTATGCATTTTGCAATAAATTTTTTAACCAATAATTATTAATTTTACATTTCGATGATTTATTTTAAATCGTAATGATTTATAGAAATATTAAGCGGGACTACATTTTTTACAAAGAATTTCTAAATAACATGTTTTTCATAATATATTGCAATAATTGCGATTTAATATCAATCATGATTTCGTGAAAATACAAGAGATAAATGTCTAATATATTTAAGATGAGGTAGAGAATCTTTTGTTACTTGCAATTTATTTATCGTTGACAATGACTATGATAAATTAGGCATCTGCCTTCTATTCTATTATTGGAAAAGTCGATAAAATAACTTGATAACTGAGAAAATTACACATATTATCAGATAATTCCATCCATCTTGATGTTAGTCGGGAACTGCCGTTTTTCCTATTATCTTATATCTGCTAATGTTACGATTTCTCTAGCGAAAGATCTTTATTCGTTGCAATCTGCACATGCGTCCACTGTTACAATAAACTTTCTAATAAATAAATAAATGATTTTTTATTTTGCAACAACTTGATGCATTGAAAAGAAATATATAAATTTTTATATAATTTTAATGATTTATATGATTTTAAATATATAATTTTTTTATTATTTAAATATTACAAAATTAAATATATCTAATAACATTTCTTTTGTTTTTATGTTATAATGGGCTAAATATGATCTATTTAGCACTGAACTATATTATATAACAAATATTACATTACAAAGAACATACTTAGAAAAGGAATTATCTATTGTTTGCAATTAAATCAAGATGTATAAATATAATAGAATATATTAAAAGTTGTTTATTTTCTCTAAAGTCAAAGACTAAATTAGAAGCTAAGTTACGTCAACTAGACGTCAAAAAGAACAAACTAAATTAAATGGCAGTTGTTTGAAAGCCAAAATGTGAACAGTTTTTGAGTTAACTTATATAAGCAAATGAAAATTAATGAGATTTAATGAATTAAACTTGAGAGCAAACTTTCTTCATCAGTTATAATTTCAAATGGAGTTTACTTTAATAAACTTAATATGAAATATATAACCGTCGAGGTATTTAATATTAAATACCATAAACTTGTGAAAAAAACATGATATTCAATTAAACTTTTATTATGTGCTTAGAAATAATTATCTTCAAATAAGATTTTATCAGTGGACCAATGTCTGAGAGCATAGAAACATTATTACAAACGGTTTCTGATACATTATATAATCCGTAATCATAATTTAATGTATACTGTATCAGCTCTAATTTTGAACATATATAATCAATGAATATCGAAGGCTTAATTAGAAAATTGTGGAACATGTCGATCGATGCCTGTAAACTTCATATGGTAATCAGATTAATTGCAGGGTTTTACCATACGTGTGTGCATGAATTAACATGCACGTAAGATTATTATGAAGACCATTATAATATATATTAAATTACCGCATAATTATGTCTATATGTATATGTACATATATGTATATCACTTCTCTCCTTTTAAATCTAACACTTTGTATATCTTAAATTTGCTTAGTGCTTTGGATGTTGCACAAAAAAAGAACTTTTTTTATATTCGCACAAGTATTCCTATAAAGAATTTTATATAAAATGTCATTTATATGAAATGTCGTGATAAAATAATTGAGATTCAAGCACACTATTTCCAATGAAAATTCCGTAATGAAGAATTGAGAGCCACTGATTCACTAAATATTTCATAAAATTTTTATTCTTTTCTGCTGAAAGATATTATGTAATTTTCATGCTCCCTCCTTTAGAGAGCTGTATACAAAATTTTAATAAATACATATGTACAAAAAAAACCGCATACATATACCTACTTAAAACTTCAATCTAGATATTGAAAAAACAACGTATACCGTTATTTCCATATTTTGCCTTCAATTTCACATCAGATACAGACGATTGAGTCTGTATGAAGTCAAATGTACGGTGGAAATTAGGCCATGAGCGTCATATCTTCATTGCAATCTTGTCGCACCTGGACTCCTCGGCAAAGTTCATAATCCGACATCTTGGCCGACATGTTCGCCGGCGAGATCTCTTGTAAGAGCGAAACGCTACGTTAACTTTCTTAAACTTGCCGGCAGCGAGCCATAAACCGCACCGCCTCTCACCCAAAGGGATTCCCCCTTATTTTACTTAAAACAACGAAAATGCGTCTTCATGCCAAAGTCACGGCGTAAAAATAGCAAAGTAAACCCAGAAAGAGGCGAAAGGACGGAGAGTGGACTGAATGATTAAGGGGGAATGAAAAAAGTTTATTACCTAAAAAACAATTTCCCCCAAGAGCAATGATAAAGATTAACGTGTTATAAAGTTAACGTAATACGTGCAGTGGTATCTGAATATATATATTTCTGAACGCTATCGTTGACACGCTAGATTGACGAATTGGTTAATTTCGAATACAGTACACACGCGATTGCGTTGTGCAAGTGACGAATCGGACATAGACGGACGATATCCATAGCCTTCGCGATACATTTGCTCTGACAACGGCGTTTGCTCTTTCTTTTCGTTCCGTTCTTCCTTCATGTATATCTTAACGGATCGTATCTTTCGTATCTTTTTTAAATGCTCCGTAATAATTTAAAAATAAAATGCGTTTGCTTGTTACACATTACAATGCGCGTCTTTAAGTTTTTCTTAGGAATCGCAAATAAGTTTTTCTTGGGAATCATAATTTTGTGAAAATAAATGCTTAATGTGTATGTGTCATCGTTACATATAAAATATATTTTTCGTTTTTAAAATATTCTGTATCAATAATATGTTTTTTAACGTTTATTTTCATACTTTAATATTTTTATAATATTTTATAATATAAAAAAGATTTATACAAATCGATCTAAAAAATCTGTTATTATAATTTTATTGATTCAATCTGCAATATGTATACATGTGTAAACATCCGCTATAAAATTTATTTAGAATATTATCATCATGATCCGGTTATGCTCTGGATGCGAATGATTAAACGCATTGAGCATAAAATTAGAACGTAATATTCTTCAAACAACATATAAATCATTTTTAATGCGACCAGATTCGCGAATCATTGGAAGCGATCGTTATTGATGTGAAATAAATTTCAATGCATGATGATTTATGTTTTCGTAATAAACATTCGAGATGTAGGAATTTCTGGAAATAATTGAGATAAAAAATAATGATATTAACTGCTACAATTACCATCTTCATTCATATAGTATTTTTGTTTTATAATAAAGGTAATCGTATGTGCAACAAATAAAT